ATAAATAAATAAATAAAAATTTAATTATATTATGGCAATTTGCAATTATTATAAATTGATTGCAGTTAAGAGTAAATAAAACACTAGAGTTAGACTCGTTACACTACATTTATGACATCTACAAGAAATTCCAATGCCAATTGCAGCAACGTCCGGAATGTCTATTTGATTTTCTTTAATGTATTGGACCGTGACATCTTTTTTTTTCATAACAAAGAAAATAAAAACAAAAGAGAGAGAGAGACACACACACAATGTCATCGAAGCGACAAGACTCATGAGATGTCAACATGTCAAAGTTGGACTGTGATACATACATACATACATACATACATACATACATATATACATATATATATACATACATACGTACGTATTTTCTTCTATCGTATATTTATTTACCTATTTCAAGAATACACACGACTAGAAAATCACGATCGAGTTGAATATTTGACCGATACATTCTAAGCGTTTAGTAAACTCGTATCACATCAAACCGGTTTTAACTAGGAATGTGTTCGGTTTGGAGTAGAACCGAAATCCAAAAAAATTCTAATCAAATGGAGATTGAATATAATTTAGTTTGAAATAAGAATTCTATTCAAAACTAATCTAATTGAAATTATTATCTAATACTCGGTAAAAAAAACAAATTCGTACATAAATTATGATACGAACAAAGCCAATTAAATTCAATTCAACCCGGTTTAGTTTCTTTTTCAAATTCGTTCACTGATCAAACCCAAGAAAACCCTAATTCCATTCTAAAAATTCCAATGACTCCTACATTTGGGTTCAAAGCTTCGCAACATGTCAAACATAGAAACTCGAGATGTTAAAAACAAGAAAGAGAAACTTTGAATGGAAGAAAAGAAATATATATATATATATATATATATATATATATATATATATATATAGAGAGAGAGAGAGAGAGGGGTTTAGGGTAACGAAGAAATGGGAGAGAGCCATTGGGGCAATAGGGACGCGGTTTCTGCGAAGAGATTGAGAATTAAAGGAAGTGATTACGACATGTTTTTGTCATCTCCCACTCCCCCGCACTCCATGGGATCTGTTTTTCTTTCTCTCTTTGTTGATTTTCTCACGCATACATACTTGTATCTGTATGCATGTATACACGTCTTTGAGAATCGAATTCAAAGGATCGTAAACAGGAAATCTTAGGCAAATTAAGTATTGTTAAATGTTGAAAATATGGTCTCTATATATGTTTAACTTGTAATTTAAGAAAAAAATAATAGAAATAACCATTTTTTAGATATATAATTAATGATCCTTATTTTCTTAAGGATCAAATTCGTATCTAAAAAAAAAAAATAGATTTTCTTATATATTTACCGAATTCCATATATTTGTTAGAAATAAAATTCGCAATTTAAGTAAAAGGAACGGAGATTGAGAAAGCAGATGTGACGTTAGCTTTGAACAAACAATATCGTAGTTCCTGTTGGTTGAATTAGAATGTTGAAGAAACTATATATATATATCGGGCCCAGTTTAATTTTTTGGTATACCCATTAATTATTAAAGGGAAAACCAAGCTTGCTAAAAAAAATATCAAAAATATATGAATTTGTTATCTTCTATACGAATATATTAATTTCCAAAATTCTACCGAATTTAAAAAATTTTGAAATTCATATATGATATTTTTTTTGTTAACAGTTTATGATGTAGATATCGGTTCGCTGAGAAATCTATATCATCGTCATACGAATGTCATATCATTATATGTTAATAACTAAAAATATAAAAAAAAAAAATAATCTATTTCTAAAAAACTAAAATTCATATATATATATATACACACACACACATTTGCAAATCCGTATATTTTTTGGAGATTACAAATTTCTTTTGTTATTATTTTTTAGCAAATCGATGTATATATATAATATTTTTCTTTAATTATATGTTTCCATTTTGACTTTTTCAGTTTTTAGACAAAATTATATATTAAAATGTATAATGAAAATTAGTTTTAAATTAAAATGTATTATTTCTAAATTTAAATATCCACTGAATTAGAATTATGATTTATATCACATTGAGTATGTAATGTAAATGATTTATTGTATCTTTTAGTCATTATGATTATGAATATGATTATTATTATTACATAGTGTTATGTTCAACAATTTTTTCCGTGAGTCAAAAAATAAACCCAAAATAATGTTAATCCACCTTACCCGACCCGACCCGACTTACGGAGTCGAATAGAAAAGACGAGGTCGAATTTGATAACCGGAAATTTAAGATTTTGGTTCGAATATTGGTGATGAGAAACGATGTACATTTTGTCGAATTCATCTTTAATTAGACTTCGGATTTGGTGTTCATTGCCCCATATCCATCTCTTTTTCTTATAACCCGGATAATTAATAGATATCTAAACATTTAGATTATTCCGTAAAATCGAGATTAGATAACGCAAAAACAAAATCACGGATACCCTAAATATTTCGTCCCATGTGCCCATATATCCACACATGCCTACATATTACATTATACACTATATATCGACAGTACACAATTAATCATTTATTATGTGGATATTGAAAGGTCTTTACCGTTCAACTCTATAAATGTTTGAAATAAACAAAACAACCAAACTATTACAGAAAATGGAATGGTTACAATATTTATAAATAACATATAAACATTCAATTTAAATCTGTAATCCAATTGGTGAAAAAAAATTCAAATTTGTGGAATCCGATATAAATTCAGGTTTTACACGATTTTTTTTATATCAAATAATAAAATTCAAACCAAATACGAATCGATAATCTTATGGAATTTTATTTAGAAAATAAATATTTTTATTAAAAATTTAATTCAAAATTAACACGAATCAATTCCAATATAATATAAAATTAATTAAAAATTGAATAAATATAATTTTTTTTATAAAAATATTCGAATCAATACAAAATATAAACAAAGTATCCAATCTACAAGAATCTCATATCAATACTTATTACTTTTACCTGATGAGTACTAACAATAAATACACGCATTGAAAGTATTTATATGATTCCCTAGATCAGCGGAACAAAAAAAAAATCTACATATATCACAATTATAAAATGCTTACATACAATTCCAAACACTAGATGTAATACACATATATACATGCGTATACATATATGAGCACACGCGAAATTGTGAGAAAATTAAGGATTTACATCTACTTTCAAACACGCGTTTATGAAGGTTTTCAATCGTGATTAACAGCTAATCTTTTCGTTTTTAAGTAGGTTTTCAAGTGTATACATACACACAATATACATACACACAACATATTTTGTGCATATATCTAACATGTTGTGGGCGAGTGGTCAAATTTGGGATGAAAAGTAATTCACATTGAGGTTGAGTGATCGATTCCTGACTGACGAAAAGGGATGTAATTTTTGGATCTATACAGTTCATATACAAAAGTTGCTCTCAGACCAAAAATTTATCTAGTCGTCCAAAGGGTAGCAGTTAAGGGTATTCCGTCATAATATATATATATATATATATATATATGTATACGTGTATATATGTATATGTATACGTGTAGACAACATTACACATTAAATAACCAGGAATTATTCTGTAGAATAGCCGCTGTAAAATAAAATTTTAAAATATTTTTTGTTTACATATGGAAAAATCGTTAGTACCGAAGACACGAAATTCCTGTTGGAATCCTTCTCCGTGACATCCTTTTTCTACAATGAAATGATTACATTTTCTAATACTCCCTCTAGTTACAACCTTCTTGATAATATTTATAAATATAAATATAAAATACAATATCCAATAATTTATTTAATTAATACAAATACAGAAAAGGAAAAACTCCATTAAAAACTTCATTTATTCACAATTTTAAATAAATCTTAATTTTCTTAAAAAAAATCCAAAACAACCCTTAATTACTACTAAACGTTCATTCAAAACTTGAAAAAAACTTAAACAGACACACAACTTTTATAAAAAAAGCAAAAGCTATAATTGTTGTTAATTTCTATATTTTAATTTCAAATTATAATCTTTGAAATTATATGGTGATATAATAAATATAATAACTTTCTTGATATTTTTATAAATATGAAATTTATATACTTGTAGATAAATAATTAGAAGCTTTCTGGATGTTTGTAAAAGAATTATGATTCGTTTAGATCTATAAATAATTAGAACTTTAAATGGACCATTTTGAAAAGCTTAGGATTTTTTTTGTTGTTGTGTTTTTAGCCATATAGCAGTAAAATTAAACATAAACAAAGCTAATTTTCTCCAAATTAATCTGTATAGTATTTATCAAATTAAAAAAAAAGATAAGAAATAACTACTTGAGATTTGAATTTTAGAAAGAAGAAAATAATAGCTGTATTGGAATATAGAAGCCGAATCAATGGCGAGATATCAGCGAAGAAATAACTAGTTGCTGATGTTACTCTGTTTCAGCAGTGTTTTCAATGCAAAGACATACAAAAATGAAGCGCAGGCAAGTGATTATTTATAGTGTTGGATTATGAACCAACACGTATCAATATAAATATGTGATATTATAAATCTTTATTTCGTGTAATTGCAAATCTTTACAAAACCTTTAATAGCATTTTATAAATCTCCTTGCATATCTACAAACGCTTCGGCCACAAACAGAAGTCCAGCAGTTCGGGGCATGGAGTGACAACTGCTGAATTGGAACTCACATGAATGAAAAGAGAGAGTTTTTCAAGAATGGGTTTGAAACTTTGGACGTATAGATGAATTGTTCGATGAGAGATTTTCTTTCTTCCACAAAGTTCAAGAACAAGGATCGTACAAAGAACATGGGAACAAACCTGGAATTTCAATCAGATTCTAATCTGAAAGAATCTAAAAACCAGCGCAAGATACCACATAAACTGAGTCCTGCAAGGTTTGGATTACCAAAAGTAAACAGCATCTGCTATACTAATAGATCTCGACAACCATTCTATAAGTAACTTAACAGTGTCATTAATTAATAATTCAAGTGGCAATGGGTCCAGCGAAATCACGCGTGTGGAAAACGATGAAGATAATAAGGAATCGACAACGGCGAGAGAGACAAGGCGACAGGTTCAGATAATCCGAAATTACAGATGGTTTTCTATCCATAACGAACAAAGCCGAGAGCGTACCTCAACAATCTAACAAAGCAATCGATGCTTAGAACCCGAGTTTTGTGCGGCGCCAATGCCGGCGCTTCGCGTTGTACCTGAAATTAAATTGTGCACGCACGAATTCAACTACAGATTTAAGAACCGATAAGAGTACCAATGGACATCATCCAACAAAACAGGGAGAAAGGGTAAGAAAAAAACCTGATGGTGTTGTCAGTGCGGAGACGGATCCAGTGAGGGATCGGTCTGTTCTGCCTCATCTTCTTCGCCAGCTTCTTCTTGATCCTGAAGGTCTTGTGCGACGGCTGTTCGATTTTCCCGCCGAACCGAATGAGAAGCAAAAAATCGTCAATAGAAATCAACAAGAATCCGAAACAGAACTATTACGCACTCATTCGAGGAAGGAAGAAAGAAAGAGAGAGAGAGAGGGAGAGGTGTACCATTTTCGGGGCTCCTGAATATGCAGCCGCGCAGGAGAAGAGTAAACGAAGGAATTAAACCCTAGAAACGGAACACACGAGTGTGGCGGAAGAGAGGGACGTCTCGAATAAAGATCCATTTGGTCTCTTTATGGGCTTATCTTATTTGTATATGGGCCATTTGCAGGCCCAAAATTAGAATCTTACACATCCGTTTTCAATTTTAAAAATACTAGTAATTATTGATCAGGGGCCGGACCGGTCCGAGCCGGTCCGAGATGGGCTGGGTAGTCATTGGGCTTATAACAGAGCCCTAGAGGAAGCTCTAGAGTTTTGTCCGATGGAAACTTGTCCAATGCCACGTCACTACATGGGACCCACTTAATTCTCCATATCTACACACGTACGAATATTGATGTATTTATGGGGAAAACTGAATAAAAAAGGAAGGTGGTAAAAAAAATAATTAAATGAAAGGGAACAACTGCAGAGGACGTACTTAACACCGCTCTCATCGTCTCTGTCTTCTTCATTTTCTTCCCCGGCTTCTCTTTTTCCTCTCCTTCATCGCCACCTCTCTCTCTCTCTCTCTCTCTCTCTCTCTCTCTCTCTCTCTGTGTGTGTGTGATTGTAGAATCTTTCGTTGCGCTTTAGGTTCTTCTTGTTTTTTCATAGATTTTAGGATCGAAATCTGAGAATCAGAAACTGGAGAGGATGGTGGCAGCAGTGACGGATGACTGGATTAGCTCGGCGACGAGAGACGGCGGAGTGGTAGCGGAGATGCTGTTGAGACTTAAGGAGGCAAAGGTGACGCCGGCGGTATTCACGAATCCGGCGGTGGCGGCGCTCCGGTGGGGATTTCGGCAGCCGCGGTCTCGTTCTCAGAGATGCGACGGTGTTTCGCAGAGGAAGGAAACCGATTCGGCCAAAAACTCTAGATGTAGTCCCAGCACTCCACTATCGTGGAGCGGCGGTTCCGGCGGCGGCGGCGGCTCGTCTTCTCCCTCCACTTGCGCTGACGGTTACGAGGCCACGAGTTGCCAAACCAGCGGCTCCTTGGCCGTCGGATCTAGATCCAAGGTTCGTCTCTCTCTCTGTTATCTCTTCTTGTTTTCCAGTTTCCGATGGCTGATCTGTGCATCTTTCGTGGTCCGGTTCCTGGTTGGACGGTAATGCCCCGGGCCAATGTGAGAAACCACGGCTTTGCCACAGTGGCGAAGTCGATGACGATTGGTTCTTTATTTTCGCCCTTTTTTTCATTAAAACCTTCCCATCGCCTTGAATCTTTTCCTTTCTCTGTTTTGAATTGAGCAATTTGTCATCGTCAATTGAAACTTCCGCGTTTTTCGGAGAGGGTTAACCCATAAATCCGCGTGGATTTCATCGGCGCTTACAACGAATGATTTCACATCGATCTCTCCGATCGGAGACAAGATTTATCGGAACCTTATAAAGATTTTCTTCCTTTCTTTTGGACAGAAACTTCGACTAAGTTTTCGTGGTTTTACAATCGACACAGATTCCTTGTTTTTTTTTCATTCGCTATGGTTTTTTTCGCCACGAGATTCCACCAAATCAACTTCCCCAGCTCAGTTCGAAAGGACATTTTCGTAGAGGGAAAAGAGCATAGATATTGACCAGAAAAACCCTTGAAACAGTTCTTCGTTGTTCTGTATCCTGAGGGTATTCCGGTCATTACGCTATGGCTGGTGTTTGTGTCTCCCTAGAACGGAGCCGGTAGACGGGGAAAGGGGTGGGATACGTCGCCGTTTTCTGTTTTTAGGTATGATTTGATTTGTCACGTCGGAGCAGTGTTCTGGTGCTACGCTCCTACACTAGAACTGACTTGTTTTCCCAGAAAAAAAAAACTCCTCATTTATTCGTGCAAGTATGGATCTTCAATTGAAGTATCTATTCTACGCTGAACAATATGGTTTTGTATAATTGAGGAAAACGTTGGATACGAAGTGAGTATAAAGGAAGAAGAAAATTTACCCTATTTTGTGATTAAATAATGAAAATAATCACCGATCTGGTTAATCTACTTCGTTGATGCAAAAAAAAAAAAAAAAAAAAAAAAAAAACCAACTTCGTGTTTTGGGTCTATGGGTTTGTCTTGGTATGGGTCATGTCTCTTGTCTTGTAATGGACCCCCAAGTTCTCCGCTCCTTGATTTAAAAAAAATTATTTTCTGAGTTTAAAGTAATCGTAGTAGTAGGAAACTTTTTTTTTGTTCTGAAAACTAACTTTTCTTTTTAATTTTTTTTTGGGTGGGATGATTCTGCGCATGGAATTTTCATTTTACTTTTTTAGGGTTAAAGTCTTAGTTGCTGTGTGCTGGGAAATGTGCCTGTAGCCATTTGCCACGTCAGATAGGTCGCGTGAGGACAATCACGTGAATTGTGTGAGTTCTTGTCATGTTTTACTGAGTCGCTCCTCGCTGAAACGTGAGTGATGTCTCAGTATAAATCCTGTGTGTTCCATTTTCTGTTTTGAGGGAATGAGATTATTATATAATTATGAATCAAGATGTGATTTTGTTCCAATCAGTCCAAGAGATCTAAAAAAAAGGAGGTGCTTTTCCTTTCCAAAGTTATATATCCTGTAAATTATATTGAGAGATACTTTCCTTATTTGTTTCTTGAAGGTTCTTCTTTGTTGTTTTTTTAATGTTGGTTGGTTCTGGTGATTTTTGGGCAAGTTTTGCAATTAGGTTATCTACCACTGTCTTCCATTTGGTTCAAAGGACTGTGGTGTTGTTGTGTCATGTGGTCCCTCAACATTGAATTCTTTGGGGTTTTAATCTTTTGCGTGGTGTTTGAGTTTGACCCTTTTCTATTCATTAATCGCATTTGTTCATAATCGCAGGTTCTAATCACTGAAGCCTCAGCAGGCTCCGGCTCCAAAAGGTCGAGGAGGAAGAAGGTGCATAAAAATCGCATTTTTTGCAACCAGAATCTTGACTGCTCTCTAGTGTTCGGTTCTTATCAATTTCTGACGAGATCGAATGATTTTGTGATTTTTCCGGCTGTTTTTCTCCCCAGACGTTTGCTGAACTTAAGGAGGAAGAAGGCAACTTGTTGAAGGAAAGAATATGCTTGGAGAAGGTTTGATTTCTTCTTCTCGTTTGCTTGTTTTTCCCCTTTGTTTCTTCTTTCCCATTTCTTTTTAATCTCCACCATGGGCTAAATCAAACCTCAACCCGGCTTAGCTACTTGGAATGCTTACTGCTGGGTTGCAGAATTCTGAACGTTGCTAGTGTTTTACGTGACAAAACAGGAGATTGCGTCGCTCCGTGCAACGTTCGACGAGCATGGTGCTGAGAAGCACAGCCTGAAGAGGATGAAAGTGAGAAACCCTAGTCACTTTATATAGCTTTTGTAACATTCGCTTACACCCTGTTTGTGTTGTCTTACTGGCAGTTGGATCTGAAGAACGTCCATCAAACAGAACCCTCTTCTCGGCATCATCTGGAACACTGTTCTGGCGGAGGTGACGGTTCCACAACGATCGATCACCATTGCAAGAACGAGGAGGAAGTGAAGTGGACGACCACTGACGGCAGTTTCTTGCTTCCGGATCTGAATATGACGCCGCCGCCTGAGGAAAACGGCAACGGTTATCCTTCTTTGGGTGTATGGGACAAGTATAAGCTGAACGGGAAACTGGCCATTAATCTCTGACCGGTGACTGAACCTTGTTGAATCTCTTTACAGGGCCAGAGTTCGGATCGGGTAGAGATAAAGAACCTCCTAAAAAGAGACCATAGATCTTTCTTGTAGAGATTTGTGCAACTTCTGCAGATTCCGATTGATTGTCGGGGTGGGGATGGGGATGGGGATAAAATGAGAGAAGAGATGGTTGGATTCTTTTGTATCGGGAACAAAAGGGTTCTGAATATGAGATCAGTCCTGTCGGAGTTCTTGTACTCTCCCTTTTTAATAGCAAATGCTATAAGGCTTTTGTTTGTACCTTCATTTTCCATTTGATGAGAAAGTACAAAATGGCTTGAGACTCGTACGTGTGTATCTTGAAAAAAAATGATTATAAATAAATAATATAGTTTATTTAATTTGATTAGAAGAATGTTGAAAATCGCTAGACTTGCAGGATTTGCTTTTTTGCACCTGTTTTTTTTTTTTTTTTTCATTCTCTCTATTTTTAGCCGTAAATAATCACAATAAACAAAAACTTCACAAAAAAAAAAAGATCACGGAGTTTAGAGGAATTTGTGTTTTTTTTTTCTTTGGGAACGATAACTACAAAAATCATAAAGAAATTAAGAACCCATAATTAGTCTCTTTCGGTGAAGTTTGCTGAAGTAACGTGGGGTGTCACGTCACTATCACAGGTATCCATATTTGCACCATGCCACTCAGAATCTTAATTACTAATCATTCATATATATACATACAATCCATTTGCTGCATCTATTACATAAACTATCTCTCTGACACAACCACAAACCTAGCTCTGAACTAAGCTGGGTTGAATGCCAAGCTATGAACGTAGCAGAAAATTATACAAGCTACAATGATTTTACACGAGAAATAAAAAAAAAACCTTATATATTCCAAAGAAACATGAGATTCTTCCTACAAATTCATCAATAGTTATGTTGATTTTGACTTTTCTACTGGCTCGCTCGCTGTTAAATCTCTCAAAACTTCTTTTGTGATAGTTTTAAAGACTTGGGCTGTCTCCCATCACGCAGCGCACACTATATATATACATATCTATGCATGGGAAGGGGAATGAGTGTAAGGTGAGAGGAAGGAACGTCATGAAGTAAACGTGAACCAAGGAAGCAAGAGGGAAAGGACTTTTGATTCAACTATCAAGTTTAAGGCTCTTACCTTTCCATTCGAGGAGCAATGCAAAATCTGTAAAAGCTCCAGGCTGTACTGCAAGAACCTGCACAAGAGGATGGAAAATTTAGAGCTGATAACACGGTTTTTGAAACCATTGTGCTTTAGCGATGATCGGAAGTGATTGATTTCTGCCGGTGAACTTTCACATTGTAAGATTGAAAAGCAAAGGAAATGAGGCAGAAGAGCAGATGAAAGCAAAGTATGATTAAACTATACAGAGTTTCGATAGGAAAAAGGACCAAAAAAGCCTTGACCCATTCACGCGGAAAAAAAAAAATCTCAAAACGTTTCAGGGACCCTAAAGTCCAAACTTTCTGTGATGATCTACAAAACCCAGATAGATCTGTTTATCAGTACCTTTACCTTAATTTCTATTGTTATTCTCTCTTTCTGTGATGAAAGAGAAAATCATGCTGAGATTTTAAAATATTTATTCAGGTATGCATGGTGCAAATTTTATTAAATATATTGTAACGATTCTGTTAGCACAATTCCTTTCATTCTTTCTGTTATTTACATATATATACAAATATATATACATATACATACAAACAAATATATTTATATATACATATATATATATACATATATATGTATATATATATATGCATATACATACATACATACAAAATAAAAAAAAAAGTCATATATATATATATTCATATCCACATACAAATACAAATATAAACATAAATATTTCTATGTATATATATTTCTATATATATCAAATAAAAATATACACAAATATACATGCATTTATACAAATATATATACATATACATACATACAAGTATATTTATATATATACATATATATAAATACATATACACGTATATATATGTATTCATATCTATGTACAAATACAAATATAAACATATATACTCCTATATATATATACTTGTATATTTTTTTATTTTGTATGTATGTATGTATTTATATATATGTATGTGTATATGTATGTGTATATATATAAATATGTATTCATATAAATATACTTGTATGTATGTATATGCATATATATTTGTATAAATGCATGTATATATGTGTATATTTTTATTTTTTATATATAGAAATATATGTAAATAGAAGTATTTATGTTTATATTTGTTTGTATGTATATGTATATATATTTTGCTATTTATTTATTTTATTTTTAATTAAAAAAAATCGATTTTTTCATATTTTTTCGGAATTTTTTTAAAATATCCGACGTGGCATGCTGATATGGCAAAAAATCCATGTGGCGTGCCACGTCAGCCGCCACGTGGCGTGCCACGTCAGCAGTTAACGGACACTTAACACCGTTTTCGGATTGTGTAGGAAATTGCAGTTAAATTGGGTAGTTCGTGTATCAATTTGGCACATTTGATAATTTGATGTAGTTTTTTGTCAAATTAAAAATTCGTGTATGAAAATGTCACATTTTGCAAAATCGGTGTAGGAAAATGTCATTTTACCATATTTTTATGATATTTGTTGACAGAAATATATACGAAATGTATGTGTCGTTGACATTAGAGGCGTAATGAGTTTATCAGGAGAAGGAGCCACATACAATGTACCCACAGGCATGACAAAATACATAGGGATCTCAATTAAACCCGAAGTTCGAAGTTCGAACTCCGGTTTGAGTCCGCTCGAAAAAATTAAAGGCATAGGCATAATAATATAGATCTGATAAATAAATGGACGGGCCAACCCGACCCGAAAAAATTCAGGCACGAATCGAGTCCGGCCCGATACCCGGCCCGCCTATTTAGTCCGAAATATATGGAATGATTAGATTTTTATTCTCATATAACATAAAAAATATTTTATTTATGTTATATATATTTATATATTTGATGGGTTTGATTAATATATATATACTAAAATTATATATTATTTTATTTCTAAACTTATATATATATATATATATTACCGACTATTTTGATAAGATTTTGGTCTAATTTATATGTATAATGTTTTATGAATTTAATTTTAAATTTTATATCAATATTTTTTTTATATTTTTTTATACCGAATATATATTATATATATTAAAAAATATTAGATAAATTTGTATATCTTAAAATTTATATGGTCATTTTTTAATTTAAAAATTTATCTTTATTTTAATATATTCTTATCAATTGAATAATTTTTCAATTTTATTTTTATTTCGTTGAATGTTTATATTATTATTATTATTATTATTATTATTATTATTATTATATCACAAAAAATATTTTTTTAATAAAAAAAATCCGAAATCCGACCCGAACCCACCCGAAACCCTGTAGGGTCGGACTCCGGGCCATCGATGATAGGTCCGAAAAATAAATAGACAGCCCGATCCGAAAAAATTTAGGCCCGAATTAAACTCGGCCAGTCCGCCCATTTTACACCCAAATACATAATTATCACATGAAACATACGTTTACATATATGAAATTAGATAACATATAATTAGTTCCATACAAGGACGCCTAAAGACATCTGAGACCGAAGGTTTATACGACGTAGCGGTACGTGATCTATCGACCCGCTGTCTCGCTCGGACGTATAATCTTCGCGACTTGTCCACGCTTTAACCCGAAATATCTCGCGATTGGATCCGTGACCTGTATTCTCGGAAGCTAATACCCATCCAGGTTGAAAAGACATGCCAAGATTCGGGAGTTAGAAAACCGATAACGGAAACTAAAAGTTTCTGTATAGAGATAATGCTCTTTAAGACAACTACGAAATTAGTTCTGGTCCAAATGCGAAATGATATCAACGACGACACAACCCAGAAGAGAGTATGATGAAACATGACTTAGTACTGTGTAACTGCTGCTACTTTCTTAGCTACTTAACGTGTGAAACTTCATCTTCCACCAGTCAAGTTCTATTGTATGATCATAGGAATAAATGATGCAGGAGATGATGTTTTCTAGTTCTCTTAAGAGATTTTTGACCATTGATGGGTATGATGATGTTATGGAATGAGGAAAAACAGAAGAAAATCATGAAAAACAATGAAAGAATGACAAAAAGATTTTATTTTTCTTCCACGAATTGCCGGAACCAACTAACCTGTGTCTCCTTCACAGTGTATCTCTCCAACAAAGTTTTCTTCTCCTCAGATGTGAGCACTTGATGCACAGGAACAAGAACATGTTCTTTTATGTTCACTAGCAATTCCGATTCCTGCACCATTTACAAAAGATATAGATGGTATATGTTAAATGACTGCAAAAACATTACTGATATCCGATTCCGGGGGCAAAAAGTCGTTCACCTGGAAAACTTCCAAGTGAAATTTGGAAGAAATCTCATTAACGACCGTATGAGCAAAAGGGGTCAAGTTCTGCTGCACCACCAAAATTGCTCTAGAAACATTTTCGGATTTCATGCGATTGTTATATGTCTTCATGGTCTTAACTCCAACCTTTGCTTCCTCGGGGAAGAAAATATAGATCTACCACATGAGAGAGAACTAGATCGTAAGAAGAAAAAACACACACACAAACCACATCATTGATTAATTCAACAAAACTCCATGGTTAACCAGAAAAATATCACCCGCTTCAAAATACAGAGGGGACTAGAAAACTATGCAAGAAACATTCGTACAGGTTCTTACAGAGAAGAAAATAGAGAACACAGAAATGCAAATTAACTTCAAGTCTTCCTTAAAAAGGCAATCCAAGGTTCCCGCTCAAAACTACAAGAAGTCATAGCTAAAGCCACATCAAGTGATACAATTCAGACATACCTGATCAGAGAGCTATCGTCCCTCTTTGCCTTCTGAATAACAAGTCCTCTCTTTTCATGTTTTCACCATATTTCATAATAAACTGTCCTTTATCGTCCCAATTTCAGAATCAGTAACAAAATAAACACGATCCTTCAACATCTGCATCAACGTCTTACGGATCCTGACAAGTCTTTTGATCTCTTGCTCATATAGAGTCATATTTTCACCAATAAATCTGCAAATGCAGATATATCAATCACCAATCGAGGACCACGAGGTACAGGGCGAGTAAATTTACTTCAGAAAACAGCAAGGAAACCAATCCTCGAAAACAAGGGAGAGGGTGTCATTTAACAGAAGCAAAACATGATATACCAAAGTTCTACTCTAACAAGTTTCTGAACAGTATCAGTGGAGAAAATACTTAAAAAAACTTCCTTCTTTCAAGGTGGAATCAAAATTTAGTCTTCTAATCCAAATGCACGGAAACCCTAAAAACTCACTCTTTCGGGGAGGAATCAAAGTTCAATATCCTAGCCCAAATGCACAGAAATCCTAATGTCCCACTTCCCGTAGGGATGAACACTCGGTTGAGGACCCAGAATGTCCCAAGTCCCTACGAACCAATCCGACCTGCACAAGGATTGAAATTCACTACCCGTATCGTGTCCGACACGGAGATTCAAAAGACAGAGCTTTGGACGTAAACAGAGCTTGCCACACAGAGGTGGACAGAGATGAGTTAAAGTTATGGTTTCCAGGAATCAAAAGGAAACAAAGAACAGAGAAGTCATAGCTAAGGGCTTACCCTAAGAATCAAACCGTCGGTTAAGTTGCAAAGAAGAGAAGATTCTAAGGTGATAGGAAAAGTGATGAGAAACCAAACGAGAAAGCAAAATTAACGCGGACAATCGACAAATTCTCCTACTAACACCAAACAACGAAACAATTCAATTAACATACATACCAAAAGAGAATTCAGACTGAAGCGATTGTGAGCAATAACTGAAAAAGAAGAAGAAGAAGAAGAAGAAGATTGCTGAAGTATGAGAAAAGAGTTCATTCTTAGAAAGGCTTGTGAATAAAACCGGGGAAATAGTAGAAAAAGGTCGGTCTTAATTTCGAAATTCACCCCGAATCTTCAGGTATTTTAAAAACGTACCCTCATTTGTCTTTTATTAGCTTAAAACACCATATAATTTTTTTTGGTTAAACTAGGGATGTCAAACGAGTCGATTCGTACTAGATCGGACCAAATGATTTTAAGCCGGTTCATTTTCAGTCCAACTCTTTAAATCCGTTTTTATTCGAATTGAGAAATTCAAGACTCGGACTATATCGCTCGAGCTTGCGAGTCGGTTTGTGAATAAGAAAAAATAAAAAATTTTAAATATAATAAAAAAAATATTATAAAAATAATAATTAATATATTTTTAAACAACAAAAAATATTTCAATTTGATAAATATTTTTAAAAATTATTTAAAAATATTAAAAAATAAAAATATATTAAACACTAGCGGTCCCCGGGACTAGATTGAAGATTAAACATAATATATTTTTAATATATTATATTTAAATTTAAATTTATATATTAATTCCGTAGAAATTAATTGATTGAAATGGTTTTTATGGATTTATTTAAAATAATATATATATATATATATATATATATATATATTTAAAATTGTGAGGTCCAAGTATATTCATCTAATCCATGACAATTTAGAACAAAAACAACAACACAAACATTTTATTAAAAATAATTCTTAAACGTTTTTTTCTTTCGAAACTCTTACATCATCTAAGAATTACTTAATTAATAAATATTCTAAACTCTAATTACAATCAGTTATCAACTTTGGTAAAACTCTTCATTTATTGTATTCATCTTTTAATTTTTTTTTCAAATATACATTAGGGACAAGTGGAACCTCCAAACATCCAAATGCCAATCAAAGTAGTGAGAGAATTAAAGTCAGTAGCAGTTTCGTGCAGAAAAAGTTAGGGTTCTTCTTGGAGACAAGTTCAGTTGCTCCAGTACCCTGCATTGCATCTCAGGTGGGTAATCTCTCACACAACCGATCCTCGGTCCTGCACCTGTCGTCCATCGACATAGACAACCATTTTCCGAGCTGATACGAGCCAGTCTCCCTCCTCGAGCTCATTCTCTCGAGGATCGAATCTCAAGAAATGATTACTTCTTCCTCAAGCAACTATTCCATTGCTGTTGTGAATGGTTTTTCCCCATTGTCCTTGATGCAGTTCTCTGTTTGTTCTGTTCTATGTCTTTCACTTTCTTGATCTGCTTCATGAGTTTCTTCATCAAACCCTTCCATGTCTAAGGACCCGATTCTCCGATGACGACTGTTAATCGGATCTTCTTCATCTTCCTCCAGAGAACTTGTCTGAATTCATCAATTCAATGCAAGAGATCAGAATAAGAACACTGTCATAAAGTAAGAAAAGACCAGATTTGATCTGTTCCATTCTCTTTTTACGTTGACATCAGTGAGATCTACGTTCTTCTCTCTCAGAAACACAAGGAAATGTTGAAAATTTTATTCTGTTGGTTGGTAATGGCCACTATGATGCCAAACTTCCTGTCACATGTTATCTAGTTATCAATGTCTTGTTTTGGAGGTCTGAATGCCACCAAGAAAAACTCACAAGCGAAACCCGAAAACCCGTGAACTATTTTGATGTTATCACATGATTAGTCGTACCTTGAGAATGCCATTCTCGACGACAAGGTACGCCATTCTCGACAACAAGTCTTCCAGCAGCGATCGTTACTCCGTCGGCTAAGAAGCTTGAGTGTTGAAATCTACTTTTCTTCTTCTTCCCCTCATACAAAACCTTTGATGTGCTAAGAACAAATATCCACTTGGCTCTAGAATTTTCTCCAACTATGTCAACTACCTCTCCGGTTTGCTTATACCAGAACTTCCCATCTTGCAAAACCACTTCATAAGCCTGCCTTTCAAACTATTCAAACAAAAAAATTCAAACTTTGAGCCAAAACTTAATTCTTCTACCAAATTCTCTTGAAATTTCGATTGAATTTGATCAGGAAAAGGAAAAGAAGCTTACTGGATCGAGGTACTGGACACACTGTTGCTGAAGTTTCGACAGAGGACATTTTTCCAAATTTACTCTCTTCCCCCCTCCAACATTGAGCCTGGACATTTACAGGATACGTTATTTAAGAATACATATTCAGATTCTTGTAGCTAAACTACGGGCACGAGGAATGCATCTAGCAGAAGAATATAGCTTCTTACGTGTAAAAGAAATGCTGTTTACTTTGAGTCTCGAGCAACTTGATGTAATAAAAGTGCAGATTATGTCCATAACGATGCCGATGATCAATCTGTTTTTGTGTGATTACAGACTATCAAGATTAGGGAAGACCGATGATATTTTTTCAATCAAATAACCATTCGGTTATGATTTTTTCTTAAAAAATTCAAATAAAACCGGACCCGTTATCGCCGAACCGCGGCTCGATTTGTCGAGCACTATGTGCCTGCGCTGAGCCATAACGTGTTCCACCAATTTTTTATAACAAGATTCATACATTAATTCTCACGTACGTACGTACATATGTATACAAAAGCATGGTTTGAACTCATTCATCGCCCTTGAGAAACAACCGAGAACTGAATCACTTAATTTCAATCACAAACTTATTCAAATGGCATGAAAGCTCTTATTGTTCTCCCCATTAGTCCAAAACCTTGCTCGGGAAGTAATCGGTCTTAGTAAATTCCAAGAACTCGACCTCGACCTTCAACGTGTTGTCCACGACGAAACCCTTGGAGGAGTTTCTCAGATCCGAGAAAGATATAAACTGCGGAAATCCCCAGCCTTTTCCCGGTGTGTCCGACCAGCTATCAACTGTCGAAATACAGATTAAGACCAACAATGATATATAATTCCTTTCGATCGAGAGTGAATTCTATCTCTTCGTTGCTCTCAATATCCGTGTTTTTGCATGTATAGGCTCTAGTTGTAGCAGAAATCAATAGATTAGTCTGCACTTTGGTCCACGATATTCTATTGTAAGAAAAAATATTATGGTTTTACCTAGCTTTTCCGCATGCGTGGAATTAGAATTGCGTTGGTCGAGAACTCGCAGCTTGGCTCGAAGGTACATCTTTTCATAGGGCATAGTGTTACAAGCAACAATGTACATAGATAATGAATTGCCCCTCCCGATTCCGTCACCATTGGGATATATTTTCAAGTACCTGAAATATGTATGCACTCTGTTATATGGTAAGATCTATATTTTACACACATATATGTGTATATGTACCTTAATGAATGTGAATACACTAAGTTAAAAAAAAAAAAAAAAAAAAAAAAAA